GACATATTTATTTGTCTCCCTTTTGCAGAGATGGAGATAGCTAGAAGCAGACTTTTAAAGATACGTGGCTTATGATTTCATTGAAAAGCTACAGGACTTTTTGAAAAAAATTACATAGAACAGCATTTTGCGCTGTCAGACATTAAAATTCTGACCCTTCTTGGCTCAACAAGAGCTAAGGACAAAAGTCAGGCCTTCTGCCTTTTATTGTAATTTTTGTAACTACAGGGACTGTCATCCTCTTCTGAAGTACAGACTTCATAAGTGTTACTGATGACAGAAACAGCTAAGTAACTGAGAAAAAATATCACCAAATTAAAAATTACATTCTAATTTCTCGCGGTGATTCCTCTTTAGTTTCTTGCCAGTGTACACATGAACTGCTTTTTGTTCACACAGGCTTAACACGTATGAAATTAAGCTCGAGGTCGTACTTGAAGCTGGCTTTGCTAATGGACTAGATGCATTTGCAATAAAAGCTAGGAATGTGCTGTTTTAGAAAGTTCCTTGCAGAGTTAATGAAAGTGGCATCACATAGGAGGAGATCACAGGAGGAGCGCAGGAAATTAGGGAGAAAGAGAAACAGAAGGACGAAAAAACAGTTGAAAAAGAACTGATAGAACAATCTACACATCATACAGATACCAGGGAGATGAGCCAAGGAAACATAACATGGGTCACAGTCAACAGGTATGAATTTGTAGCCCTATCAGTCAAGTTGTATTTCTGCTCATCACAAGAACAGCTACTTCCACAGCAGTAGAAGAAAGAGCCATTAATAACCTTCCTCTCTTCCAAAAGCCAAGGTTTTCAGAGAACGCAGAGGGTTCTCCCCCCACCCAACACAACTCTCCTTTGCCAGCACATCTCTGCAGAATGATATCGGCTCCCGGCTAGTTCTGCCCATACAGTTCAGAAATTTTAGTCTCCCCCAGCTCTCCCTCCAACATCCACTGGTATGTATCTTATAAAGTCTCACATCAGACATTTCCAAAATGCGGATTATGGTAACACTGGTAGTATATAAGCTATTCTGAAGTGGTACAGAAACCCTGTCTTGAACAGCTACGCATCTCTGCTGCTGCTGCTATCTGCGATGATACTTGGAGAGACTTAGGAAGCCTGTCTTAAGTCTCCTGTAACATTCAGTAATGAGAGTGAATCAGTCATTCTAGTATTTTCTTTGCAGCTAGATTTTTTTTGTTATCCCACTCCAGTGTCAACATTGGGTTTCTCCTCCCTTGATTACTGCAAAAATTCCAACACATCTATAAAATCTGATACTGGTTTTCAGTTCAATTATCCCTTTGCTGCCCTTCCATAAAGTCAGAGATTCCCCCACCCCCAAAACCCCTATGAGTTTTGAAGAAGTCTCTTTCCAGTTCCCTTAAACAAGCCACCAATTCACTCACATATCAAAGCTAACTGAAGACATTAATTTGCACCTTCAAACACCAAAATGCTTGGAAGGTTCTTTAACCAAATATTAACCTCTCCCCATCATACTGCCACTAGCCATAAGTAACCAAAAGTGCTAACAAGCGAAACAGGCTCCTCTTAAAAATTAAAGGATAATGCTGACAGAGGACCTCTGATAAACCTTTATCTTCCCTGGAATGCCCCAACCATCAAAATCTGCCACATCAAAATAGCCCCAGCCTGTTCACCTTCCAGGCATTCTACAGAATTCAATCGTGCACATGAACAAACGTGAATGGCTGAAGTGGTAGAGCTTGGAAGGTGTGCCCAACAATTGCTAAGACTAGAAATTTGAAAGCAGTATAGATCACAGAGTTAGTAAACAAGTGATGGTTAGGAAGAAAGATCATGTATTTTTTTCTTAGAACAATTTTACATTTGTGCTCTTGAGCAACTCTTGAGCTGCTATATTCTTTAATGCTTATCAAGAGGACTAGGAGTTTAGATGAACTTCTTTATGAAATACCGTGTCTTCAGACCAATAGGGAAAAAACAAATGAATACTTGTGGATTGTATACTTGCTATTAAACATTGAGAGTTAGCAAATATAATGAAGGTTTTCAGTTTACCTAAATTTGTATTCACAATCCCAGAACATTGACTTTTGAAAAGGCAAACATAGTTTACAGTTCTTAATAGCAGCTTCCATGGCCATAACTTCCGGAGTCAACAAAAGTGCCCTCTGGCACATACCACCTTAAAAAATAGATCCTAAGACAACAACAAAAACGTGTTCCTTTTATCATCTCATAAGCAATTTTCCAGCAGATATGCAGCAAAATGCCCAGTTATCCCAGCAACCCTTAATGACACTGACTCTCTCTTTAAGTACTTGAGCAAATATTTAATCACCTTTTTCCAGAATAAAAAAAAAATACAGCTGTTACATAAGGCTTTGCAGCACAGATCTTTAAACACTTCACGGAGAAGTTGTCCTTATCCATTACTGCTAATCCTAGAGACACAATATCCCACTCAATTTTACCCAACAGGTTAAAGACAGAGCTGCAAATAGAATCCAGGTCTCCTCAGCCCCAGGTGAGTACTTCATCTACCATGCCACACTGCCTGATATTTCCTTGAGAATTACCTAAGTCCAAATTGAGATTCATTCTCTTCTATTTAAATAAAGAAAACATAGAATGCTAACCATAACATAGTCAACCACCACAGTTGCCATCTGCTGTATTTCAAGAAATCCAAAGAGGCCTTCAGAGCATTTTTTCAGGGTGTGCATGTACTCCACAGCAGCAGGACACTTGGACTAATTAGCTCATGTGGAGCTCCCTCACTATATTGCTTCTGAGCTAGCTCATTTGTCTCCATGTTACGTTACACAGTATAGATACACCCTCAGAGAAATCAGTTCTTCCAGGTAAGGGAAACACACTTGATGAAGCAATAGCAGTTTAGGAGAGATAATTATTGCTACCACGGTACAACCACTTTTATTTTCAGTTCACTTCCAGGTATAAATACTTCTTCATATTCAGAATTGGTTTCCATTAAAACAGGGAAAATGCATTGTTCTGCTCGTGTCAGACAGACAGCAATAACAGTTTAGATGAAATTTGGTGAGGAGATAAAAGGCTCTCCCCTAGCATCAGGGATATGATTTGCTGTTCTTCAGAAGCCCAACTAACAGCAGTCTGAATGAGAGAGAAGTATCAGACTCCAAAAATCTGTTTGTACTGGAAACTTGCTCAAGCTTGCCACACACGTGGTCTACATTGAACACGTTTAAAGGGATGTTTCTCTCCCGCATACCTTTCTAAAGCCTCCCAATTGCCAAGACCTAATTCCTGATTCACTCTGTCTCTGCTGCCAGCAAGTATGTGGAAAAACCACTAACAACGTATGCTTTTTTATGTTCCTTCAATACTGGTCCAGTACAGAAGAATCAGAGCTTACTTTGCCAGGGACATATATAGTTACTTACACAAGCGTCATGTGATAGTGTCAGGTTTTCAGCTGGGTATGATATGCACGCACACACCCTCACCATGTTAAAAGAATATTTCCTCGTAAAGCAAAACTAACTGTCAAGAAATTGAAGTGTTTCCCTCTGCCCTGCACACCAATGCTTTATGATATTGTCTTCAACTAACCCATTACATCCTAACTTTTCCACAGGATCTTTATCTTGTTTGAAGGCTAGGATACAAAGTATTAACACTGAATGAGTACTCATTCAACACCTCACTTTATCCCTGCTGTTCAATATGTGGCATCTTGGTATCATTTACAGTGCCAAGATCTAGGATTAGAACTAGAAAATTTCTCATTTCTCTGTTGCTCACTGTTAGGTACCTGAATCATTTCCTAAAACTAATTAATTCACATCACCTCCATCAGGCAATTGTATGATCCTTGTTTTCACACAGCAGAGACAGTGACGTGCATCAGGATTGCCCATAATTAGGGATGCTTGCCTTTACATGTTTTGGGTGTCTCATTAGAGGACATAGCAATTAAACATCACTTTGTCAGTACAAAGTACAATTTCAATCTATTTGAGTGCTATCATATGTTTTCAAAGCTGACATAAATCAGTCCCAAGAGTCTGAACTTAGAAATTGAGAAGTACACAACTAACGCCTATTTAAAAAAAATATGGTTGAAGTGACTCACCCAAGCTCACACAGGAGCTCTGTGGCTGAATTAAGATTTGGCTGTAATTCTCCAGAACAGTTCCCCAACAGCCCTAACTTTAAAACTAATCTCTTCTCCTGTTTTTCTCTCCCTTCTTCACACTTCATCCAGCTTCTGCAGTTACAGGGAAGCAGATCTAAAGGGAATTGCCTCATTAACTATCACACTTGGATTCATTTCCTAAACACTGTTCCTGAAAGTATCAAGTGTCTTAAGGAGAAAGAAGCAGTCTTAAATGACATCAGCTATCTTAAGGCAGACATGTAAAACTGAGTTTGCACAGAACATTTCAGTTCTGGTATTTCTTTTCTATTTGCATTATGTCACTGTCAGAGCACTCCAAGTTCCCAGAATTTTCATTTCCTGCAGTTTCAAATAACAATATCAAGTTTAAATTAATTTTTGCATGTTCAGTGTCTCACCTGCTGCATTTGCATCCTCTAGCTTGATGAACTCCTGCAATAAGGCCTCTGAATATTGAATACTGTCCAGATAATCACTTCAAGAGTAATCCTTCCCCCACAAGGCTAATGGTCTATGAGATAACCAGCATATAGCATGGAATATCACAGGGTTAGTGAAGTACTGTGCAGCAACAAGCAGAAAGAAACTAACACCAATCACTGTCTCCCAAGCTTCCGTCAGCTTGACCAATGCCAGAAGATTAACATCTCAGTAATTTAACACTAACACAATACCCAAGCTTTAATTCTAAGGGTCTTTAAAAAAAAAAAAAAACAGTAAACAACCACAGTAATGTCATGCTGTAGTCAGTGTTTTGCCACACTTCATCATAAACAAATAATTTTTTGAAATTGCACGTAAAAAATTTTTTTAAAAGGCATTACAGATCAAAACTAAAACTTACCTCATTTCCACCAACAGCTTTGGTTAAAATTACTGCAGAAGACACAGGAGGTGGCATGCAGCCTACTGTCTGCAAGCTGCAAATGACAAAAAGAAATGTTACATTCCTTACATCATGAAAACACTCTAGAACCTGAAAGTCTTAAAATACCAAACAGCTGAGCAGAAACAATTATTTCATCACCTGTGCAGCCTAATCAGTTTGTGTTGCAGTTACAGCACAGCACCAGCAGGCAGGATTTCTATGCCATCTCTTACCAACCACCACGCTGAACAGTCATGTCACCATTAAAAACCCCAAACACTTAGCCTCTCTGACTGTTTTCCCTCCTGTAGAACTGTATCTACCACTCACAAAGATATCATGTGTGTTAAAATCAAAGTGGGGGGGAAGGTAAATTTATTTTCTTACAAAAGCTGTAAGCGATGAAACCATGAACTGCTAAGTAGTAAAAGGGTCAGAAGGACCACGTCCATTATTTCACATTCCCACTGTACTTTTTTTTTAGTCAACAGCTATTTAAAAAAAAAATCACAGTTAAGCTTTTTATTTACTGAACATTAAGAGGCCATCCAACATTTTATTTTTATGAATGTTTTCACTTCTTAGTAAAATCATCTGACTTCCATTTATCAAAACATCAACAGCTTTCTCTTGCATTTTAAAAGTCTAAAAATGCATAATTGTAATTTATCACTTCTTCCATCGTTTGTCCATCAAGATTATCAATGCATATAGTAAGGGCTGTCGCAAAGTGAGAACAAAAATATTTTGTGAGCTTTCTTGTGTTTTTAAATACAGTCCATAAAAAGCCATTATTAAAAAACAGAGTTATATCAAATATATAGCTGGAAACAACCATGAACATAGTGCAACAAATTCCAATGAACTTTAGGGCTAAGTAAAACAGGCCTTCTGAAGAAAAAATTGCATTGAGTTGCAAAGAACAGGAAAGGACAAAGGAAAGGACTTGCAAAGACAGGAAATAAAACAAGCTGTGGATTCTATGCTTTCAAGTATTGCAGTTTGACACAGTATCCCTGTTCAGGGCAAGTAAGGGTGGTAAACTACTTTGCACTTGTAATTTCACCCTGAAAGAACATTGTCTTTAAAAATGCTACAGTAACAAACAAATAAATGAAAAAGAGTATTAAATCCAATAGAGACCGCATTTAACAACAACAGTGAGCATATTATAGTGCAACTGAAATGCTGCAAGTATACAAAAAGCTTGAATAGAAGAAACAGATAAATGAAAACACAGATGTTCACTTTGTCAGCTACAGACACTGTGGAAAAGGAAAAAGGCAACCAATATGCACATTATACAGATCCAATCACATGAAGTGCCAAGCATCGCCTTGGAAGTGCTTAGTGCCTTTAGCTTACAGAGAAGTCTCTGGAAGCAGAGAGCTGTCAGTGCTTAGCAGGATAAGCTCATTGTGAAAAGAAAAGATATGGGAAAAGAAAGTGAAAAACCAACAAGCACATGGCGATTCTGATGTCCATCCCCTATATCAGTTGTGACATTACATTTCTTCTATAATGGTCTCTTGGTAGTTAGCTCCTGGAACTCCTCACCTGCACTGATGAAGGATGGATAAGTTCAAAGTTATCAAGACAGGTATGAAATGTGTACAAGTGCATTCATCTCAGTTGAAAGGGATTTTCCACACTTAAAGAAAGGTTTAATAAACAAGATCCACATGAACACTCTCAAATTTAAAATGATACCTTTGGAATTAAAAAAAAAAAAATCACCATCAAGATAGGGTATAAAGGATATGAAGGATAATAAATATCCTTCATACAAAAATATTAATCTACAGAAAACATGGTACATGCTAAATGAAAATGGTTTTATTGACAGGTCTATCAGAGCATGCATATAAATCACCTGCCAACTTTTTTTTTTTTTCTTACTTTATCATCAACTACACACAACACACTAGCAATATGCAAACTCCTCTAACGGCCAGCAGGCTATTCCAGACAACAGTCCATAGACTGAAATGTTCCATTGGTCCAGGCAGTGCTGTATGCATTAATATCATAGGACCTGCCGAAGGTCCATAAACAATACCTGTTCTATTGATATATTACAGACAATGGGATAGTAACTGGGCCCAGAGTCTCATATTTTAGATATGTAACTACCAAAGCTATACCTTGTGCTAGATCTTTGGATCTCATGCCTTACCACCTACACTGTAATCAGCGGCAGAAGTGAACCCGTGCAAACACTAATATGCTGCTTCATGTTCCTTTCCAAAGGAATCCTTACAAAGCAAAACCTAGTCAGTTAACAAAAAATTAATGTCAAAGTCACTCACAGCAAATGTCAGTTTCTCCCCTATTTTATACATTTCAAAATAACTGCAAAACAAAACAAACAAAACCCTCCAAATATGATCCCAGGCAGAGAGGAAAAGAGCCCACAGCACTGTAGAAACACATGTGAAGAGTTGATAACATCTCAATTTGCCTCTCAAACAACATTTACAACAAAACAGACAGTTGCAGAGAATGGGAGAATCTACATCGTTCATGAATTAAATTCTGAAGTAAGGCAGGAAATTAACTGGGGGCTTGACTATGTCCTTTAGGCATAACCTTGCGTAAGCAGTAGCACAGAACTACATTCCCCACGGGAGCTGCCCTGCCAAAAGGAAGCCAAACGCCCTTGGGAGCATATGCCTATTTTTCCAGGCTTTCATGAGGACTATCAACTAGCTTCTGCTCCACACTGTGCTAAATGCATGTGAAGAGAAGAAAGCTTTGCCAAACTCCATTTTGTCACTCTATGTCCTCAGTAGGATACCTTAGTGGCTTGAGGGAAAACCAATTACAGTTGTGGGGCACGAAGGTGAAATTCTGATTAGACAGAGTGGGCATGGCACAGACAGTTCCTCACATCCTCTTCTCACTCCCCTTTTGTGTACCTATATAGAGACCTGTGAGAAAATGTGGACATTTTCTGCTTTAAAATGAGTTATCCTAGAACTTAAACTCATTTTATATCTGGTTCTTGAGGCTGCTTTTTAAAGACAGAGCTAACTAGCTCCTCTTCCCACACAGCGCTGAAGGTACTGTTCCCACCAGCCTTGCAGTGGATGCCTTCAGTCCCACGCAGTGGCTGCTGGCCTGAGCAATGTCCTAAACAGCAATCTTTATCAAGAAAGAACTGTTTCAAAGTAATCTTTCATTAAACTTCCCTATGAGATCATTCTTTGAATGAAGTCACCATACTACAGAGTTACAATAATAAAGGAAAAGAATGGCCAGAACAGAAATAGTACTCAAGGAACAAGTGCTTGCAAGGCCGCTTGAAGCATATAGAAGTCTATTAGCTCACTCGTAAAACACAGCCACTATTCCATGAAAAATGAGGCTGTTTTAGGATGTTTAGGGAGTCACACATACACATGTATTTGTTACACATACATGTATGTATATGTGTATATATAAACACACATACCTGCGCAAATTAACTGAGAACGTACCCCTTTAATATTAAGAACCAAAGTGGCATGAGAGGCATCAGCGAAAAAAGGGATGAGAAGTGCTGCAAGGAACAAAAAGTATCAAAATTTCTTGCACTTCATACTTCAGGAACAGGCTGCCATGGATTAGGAGGGAATTTTGGCTCACTATTAAAAATCCTGTCTGTGTTCCGGCTGAAAAAACAAAACCAAAACCAAAACCTTTGCAGTGATTTTACTTTAACCTTTACTATGAATCACCACATGGAAGGGAACATTGTTTCACTGCCTTATTTACTTGATGTACTGATACTGTTAATCAAAATAGTGCTAACTTCTAGATGATTTTCCTCTCAGATTTCACCTTCTCAGTATCATTTGCACAACCTCACACTTGGGATGCCTGGAAAAGCCTCTCAAAAACAAAACAAAATGCTCTCTTAGGTTTAAGCTTTGTAAACATCTAAATATGAGCAGCTTTATCATTAAGCTTTTAAGACAGGGAACTGTCCCCAAGCAATGTTTCACCAAGCACTAAAAAAGAGTAAGGAGTCTTCAAGCAATTTTCTAAAATAACTGATATTTATGCTTGAACATTCCAGTCTAGCTGCACGTCTCTAGGTGTTTACCTTTGATCTGAAAAAACTTTATTCTTTGGACTTTTCATAGCACCTATCACCACTGTCAATGCAACTTTGGAAGTACACACTGGCAGAGAACACCCAAGTATTTAAGACATTGTTTTCATGGTAGCATAGCTTCTGCTCATCTCCAACTTCTCCTCATACAAAAACTTCATTCTGTCTTTTTTTCACCCTGCCACAACTTAGCTAGGAGCAGATGCAGAACACATGCAAGCACAGACACATGCAAGAGACACTCAGTACAGACTGTTGAAAAACTAAACAGAATACCAATACACAACATACGAAACACGTATTCACAGACATATGCTTCTCTTCAGCAACCATTTTCTTTCTCCCATCCTCCTTGAGACCTAGCACAGCAGCTTCAGCTGCCTGTTGTGAAATAGAAAGCAGGCCTGTTGCAAGCTCCCTACATACAAAACTAACTGACAAGAACCTCTAAAAACGAGACCAGGTTCCTGAAAGGATAATTTTGTGTGTACTGCGGTTTCAATAGCAAAGTACTGAAGCACAAAAACGAACAGCAAAATCTGTTCACAATACAACTCATAAAACACACATTGCAGGATGAGCAGCCCTTTAAAAAGATAGCTACAAATAGATTTCACTCTATTATGTTTAAACATACCCTTTTAAAAGCCATTCATTTATAGGTGTGATTGATAATAGCTGAAGAAAGAGCCAGATTGCTGTTGGGAAGAACACAAGTGTAAAAATCTGGACAAAAAGGTGTAGTTTCACATGCATCAAAGCACTTGTCAGCTCCTGCAAAAGAAAAAGAAGAGAGGAAGTTGCAGTCATAACAGCTGAAGTAAAATAACATTTGTGCTTTAAAGCTAAGATCATCTTTATAATACAAAGAGAATGCATGTCAAAAAGGCACCTTTAGGATCATCTGCTTTCCTCTTTAATAAGCATGTATATCCAGACAACATAAAAGCTCTGCCTGCTCCTAGGCTTTTCTCCAAAACAATTGTCCACCACTTCAATACTAGCGTAGCTCCTGAAACGGTAGCTTTCTGGCAGACAGCCTTAGAACTGTGTCACTGCCTCAATGCCTGCATTAACTATGCTGACAGCCTGTTTACTTTATGGACCACTAATATCAAGAGGAAGGGGAACTTACAGCATCCATGTGATTTAAATTCTCCTTAGTCTACAGAGAGCCACAAAGAGTATAATTTTCCTTTATACCAGGAGAAAGGGATCTTTATGTTACAAAGAGTCATTATTCAGTTTTTTTTTCTTTATGAGAGGATAATAAAGTAAGTCAGTGGCAGATTTTGATTATTTGTTGTATTAGGAAGCTTAAAAAATACAACTGTATATCAGAATTGCCAACAGAGAACTTGTGCATAGAAATAAATTAGACTGTTGAAAAAGAGCAAAGAAACAAATACCAAGACTGTAACAAGCTAACAACAGCTAAGTCATAAAATTCAGAGAAAAAAGGTGCAAAACGCATTTGAAGACTGAGGAAAAAAAATAAAGTTTTGCTGTTATACAATACCTTTCATCAAAAGAAGCAAGAGGACTCTAGAGAGGTGATCCAGTATCATTATGCAATATGCTCCTCAGTTAGCTACATCTCTGATTCTGTTTTTGGGGCATCTTTAACATAGCTTTTGAGTAGAAGGGAGAAGCCTTATACATTTCAGCTCATTTCAACTCCCACTGGCTGAGAAGAAAAATTCCTCTCCCTCTTACTCAAGATACCTTGCACCCTTTCAGTTGCATTGTTGACAAAAAACACAGAACGAAACAAAAAGTGTATTTCAATGTACAGTGACACAGCAGCACATCTTCACATGCCACCCTTTTTCAGCTTCGAGGCCGCTTAACACTTGAGAAACACGACCAAATACTACACTTCTGACCATCCAAATGCACAATGATGCAATTAAACATCTGGAAGTATAAGCAATTAAGCACCATGCCCTTGTTATTTTATTTCTTTTACTAAAATTATCTCCCAAATTTGGGTTTAGGGGAAAAACCTGCCATGAAAAACTATGAATCTGTTCACACCCTAGTCTCAGAAAGTCACACAGAACAAGGACTTCAAATGAACACCTTGACCCAGTTTGATGAAGAAAGCACCATTACATCCAGTTCTTGGTTAAATGAATGAAACAACAAATTTGGGGGGGAGGTGTTTTTTGTTTTGTTTTACTTAAAGAAAATTCTCAGGCAGGCTAGTTTCAGTCTACACAAAAAAAAAATAAAAGGCCTTCACACATAAGACTGTCACAGTACCTATGGAATTACAAATGGCTTCACTGTAGTACTGCTACGGTTTTCCTCAAAGGAAGCAAAAATAAAATGTTGAGTAGTAAAAATATTCTGTGTGAGAAGAAATGGTACCTAGAAACACCTATATAAAAGTGGATTTTTAAAAGTAAATAATACTTTAATTTTTCTCAGGTGTAAGCAACTCCTTCAGCATAGTTGCAAATTCCTTCTTCTTTCCTGTCAAGCCTTTGAAGTCCTCTCTCGACCCAGACTCCCTAGCGGACCAATCTAAGATTACAACCTAGGCACCGTCAAATCCCCAAGCGCGGACCAATGACGTTATACAAAACGTTTCATTCCCTCTTTCAGTATTATACAATTGTTGCCCACTTTCTCTTTTAATGTACTATTTATAGAATAATGGAAAATGCCTTAAAACATGTAATTTGAAGGAAACTGCGATAATTTTAAAAGTAAAAATCAAGACAAAAACTTAGGGACAGGTTGGTGACAGGTCCCAGTGAGCAAGGAGGGTGCTAACAGCACAGGAAACTTAGTGAATGGAGAAATGTTGCATTAGTGTAACAAGTCTGCAGACCTAAATTACCAGTCTTTAAAACATCTCTAGCAATCAGCTTTAATATAGCCATTCCTTAGACTGCATTAACAGAGATCAAACACCAATATAAACAGCCTTCATCCTCTTAAGCACACCACAAGGGCTTGCCTCAAAGTATCTCAGTCGCTAGAATCCTCAAAAAGAGTAAAAATCTCAGAGATTGTGCCAACTGTGACTCAGTTTCTCCGTACCAAGTGGAACAGGTTACCCTGTCTTCCCCAGTATTTTAGACTCTTCAGAAAGCTTCTGCAATTTTCTCTCTGGTCAGTGCAAGTCCCTGTTACCTCCCATTCACACCAAGATGGTCGTAGCTGGACTCCTCTGGGCAAATGCATACACAGAGCAACAGTGTTTTCAGTGGTTTGCCAGAATCCTCATTTAAATGGATAACTCAAGTATGTGGTTTAATTTCTTGGGGCCTACAGTAGGATTTTCTTCAAAAAAGCAAACTATCCAGTCACCGAAAACTGAAAGGGCATCACAGTAAGGTGCAGTCAAATGTTCTTGTGATTCCTGGCCACAAACTATTTGTATAGACTTAACAGCACCACAGTCATCCTTACTTTTGAAAATGTAACAAGGCTGCGCACTGACTGGCTCTCCCTGAAAGCTGCCAATTATTTTGTAAAATGCTTTCTAAATGCATGTTAGAAAATGTTTTTCTGAGCATGTATTTTCACAGCAGATGCAACTGGAAGTGTAATCTTAAAAGAGCATCAGCTATTTCTAATTTTATCAGATTCTCATCTTCATGGGGTACCCATTCAGTTAAATTTTATGTAACTTCTTATCATTTCATAAAGCACACTGAATATATTAACTCAAATGAAATTAGTGTTATTTTAGATACATAGACTGTCCAGAACTAATTAAGACAAAAGCAGAAACAACTTATTTTGTAACCCAATAACACGATACATTCACTGATGAGTAATACCAACTTTAGATTATGCCTTATGGGTCTCAAAACAGTAAAGGATGGGTTTAAAAAAAAAAAAAAATATCCCAAAGCATTTTAATAATATCATGACCTAGCCTCCTTACATTTCAGGACAGTTTTTATTACACGTTTTGGAAAGCAACAGCACTAGGACTAACTGCTGAAATGCTTTTTCTCTTTATCTTCTACTCCCATGGCAGAAATGCAAGAGCAGCTTCTTGATGAAATACAGACCTAGGTGCACACCATCAGTACTAACTGCCATTTCTAAAACAATCTGAGAGCAGCTAGCTGGACACGCAGCTCCTACAAAGACTTCATTTACATATATATATCCATTCCTTTCAGAACCACACATGAAATAAAGTTATGCAAGTTCAAAGTGGGGCATGACAAGTTGCCAGGAACTTGTCAATCACACCACCTTAACTGGAGGAAGTTAGACAGAGATATAGTAGCCTTGGGAACCTAGCCAAGATTCTGATTATGCTGCAGATTTCATTTGCATTCACAGAAGCTTTACAAATCTGAAGTTTCAAGGACTCAAATTACTAAAATTGAAAGAAGTCTTTCATTTTTTCCTTTGCATGCAAAGATTCTTAATACTGAAAGCAGAAAATTCCACTCCAATAGTGTCACTTAGGTTCTGTGTTTTGGGTCTCTTCTCTGTGGAAAACTCCAGTGCCTGCTTGCATTAGGATGGATTACTGTCCCCGTGAAACAGATAAATTGACGTGGTTCTTTCTGCTTCCACATATGACCGCGATGCTCTAAACAGCTGCTACAGAACTGACTAGAATTATTCACTTCACTTATGCTGCATCCAGGCAGAACTAGAGGCACTAGTGCCAGAATTGCCTACCTGCAGACACTGAAAGAGAGGACTAGCATCAATTCAAGCACAGCCTCCATTTGAAGCATTATCATCATAATCATGATACAAGTAAAAAAATTAACATTGAACTTCTGTTCAATGCATACTGCCCAAGTCCCACTGATACTCTGCCCAGAAGATACTGTAATACTAGATAATATCATGATGCTTTTTTTTGGCATTAGTTTCAAGAAACATATAAATGGCATGTTAACACAGCCAACAGAGTAAAAGAAACTAGACTAGCAAAGAAATGCAGTGTTTCCTTTCAATTCCGGCTACTCAGCAAGAGCAGATACCCCTTCTCTTCTTGATACACAGCAGTCACTTCCTTCTCCCTCCCAACTTTACGCTTCACTAAGGTTTTCCCCTTCATCTCCTTTTACTCCCAGATCATTGTTCTTTGAAAAATGAAAGGCATATAAAATTTGAAAAAAGTCCCAGTATCTCTGCTATGCACTGGAGTGTAGGAATTTTAAGTCCACCTGTCCACAAGAGAGAGCTAAATCTTACAGGAAAAGATTGCTAAGACTTTTTACCAGTGTATTGGCCTTGCATCCACAGAAGAACCCTTTTGTGTTGATGCTAGCTGCTATTCTGTGCCTATCCAATGTGATAACTTAAAGCCACTAGACCTTCATCAGCATGAATCTGGTAGTAACTAGCCTACACAGTCCTACTTAGGGAGCAGGCTGGCAGGACACGTGAAAGAGAGAGACATTGAGATCTCATATCTTTTCTTCATGTCTTACAGATGCATGGAGACTCCATTTAGTCTCTCTCTGGCTACTTTCCTATGAAGTTCTACTCCAGATTCACCGAGTTTTCTAGCTTGTATCTAAACTGAGCAGTGGGGTACCATCACGGAAACCAATGTGCAGAATGTGTGGGGAAAGGAGGAGTACTAGCGTGCTCCTGAGTCCCACCCTGATTGGGGCACATCTGTGGTGTGGACCCAGTCTCTCACACTCAAAAATGCATCCAGCACTCCCATTTAGTCAAAGCCCTGCAATCTCAGCAATGCCCCTATGGATGGGTGAACTGCCCTCGCACTCTCATCACCTCCATTGCCTTATGAAGAATTTTCTGAAATAAAGGAGGTGTTATTCTATAAACTTCTGGTTTTGATCTTCTTTTGTTAGCTATTCTCACAGCAACAACAGCCTAGCAATTAAATATTCCAACTACATTCAAATCTGATCAAAAGCAACACAAAAGTTGTAAAACAAAAGAAGAATGAAGCAATTAGAAATTACAGTACCTCAGTTTTTAATGAGACTCCACTGTTAAAGAATATAGCTGAAACAGCAATGTAAGTTATGGTAATTTCTGGTTTCAAGGGTCCTAAAAAATATAGACACAAAGAACAAAGTGAACTACAGTCAAAGTGATAATGATATGCATATACTATATCAAAGTAAATGAGAGTATTTAGAAGAGTATCTAGAGAAAATCTAATCACTACAGTCCATTTTAGAAGAGTATGGCTTACTATTATGTCACAGAAAGTAGTGCTATTTATTTTCAAATAAAAACAAACCAGTCCATGGACAGAGAAGTATGATGTCATAAAGACTGGGCTTAGATGACTACAGGTCATTAGGAACTGCAGGGTAAATTCTGTAAACGTGAAAAAGAGAAAGTTTCCAGAGCTTTCCTCCATCTTCAGAGTATTCCTGTAATATCAGTCAAATTCAAAGCATATGCTCCAATGAAAATAGCAGCTGCTCCCTCCACGTGGGCATATACTTCACTCACATATCTACCTCTCGCCTCTCCTTCCTCCTCCAGTACATACACCTGTCTAGCTGCCTGCACAAAGAAAACCAAGTTGTACCTTACAAAGAATTCCTTGGGGAACACAATTCTGCATAATCTCCTCACAACAGGACTGTAGCAGAATAGTTCATTATAGCCCTAGCGTAACACCTTCCAGACACATTGCTGCAGTAAGATCCATGTGGGCAGATGCTTGCACCTGCAAGGGTTCCACTATATTAAAGGCTTACACTTGTATATATTTATATACCTTTTCCAAGGACGTTAAAATCAAATACTTCTGATACTCCTATAAAAATGATGAATTTCCTTAATATTCTTCACTTTTGGGGACCACCAAATACCAAAAGTTTACATTCATTTTCTTCATAACCATTCAACCAAATATTTTTATTAAAAGAAAATATTAACAGTGTACTTAGGACCAAACTAATATCTGAACTCTGCAAATGAGATGATTTAAAATGCAACTTTCTTTTTCTAGTACATATTTTATTTAGTGATAATAAGTTGTCAGGCACAAAACTGCAGCAGCAAACAGGCCAGCCTTTACTCGGTACTCCAGAAGAGAAGCTCCTTTCTTCTCTATTAGATGAATGCTACATTGACGGTCATACAGCGCCAAGGTCAATGATCCCTAAATTAGAGGGATTTGATCATACACTGAATCTACTCAAATTTGCATATTAAGTCATTTAAACCAAAATCTGCTCTCAGAGAGGCCTTTGTTAATGAGACACTAAAAGCCACACTAAAGAGACACATTAGTGAGACAAACTAAATGCAAAGACAAAAAAAAAACACACACACAAAACAACCTACATGAAGCGCTATGTAAAACTAAGCCAGGTTACTAAGCAAAAGTTAAAGTTGCAAAAAAACACATGGCTAGTTGCACAGTTTTATGGCATATTAACTGAATGACCAGGGGAGAAAAAAAAGATTAGGAAAGTGCTGTGTGCGTGTGTGTGTGTGCACTAGACAGACAGTCAGTTTGTCAGTTGGCCTAAGATAAGGATTCTGCTAGGACCCAGGTTTTCTATCATGCAGTTTTTCACTGAGCTTCCTGAACTTTTACAAAGAGGGAAAACTCAGCCACTATCGTATTAACACTTCCATGTAGCGCAGGGCACTCCTGTCATGCAAACAGATCTGCTTCAAGTGTCCTGCAAGAGACTGATCAGCAAAACTGTCTTCACAAATAAACTAAATAGACTCACTCATGGAATAGGAAAACACACAAAAAGGAGCTTGACTTGCACCCTAAAGGTGGTAAGAATAGCACAAATCTTTGTTATTTGCGGCACACTGTTCCACAAGTATGGATGTTGGACCATTCAATAAGGCCCTGCAAATTGCCGTGTGTGATTTTGTTAGCTGGCAGATAACAAACTTTTAAGGTTTTTTCATAGGCTGATATTTCTTCCCCCCCGCCCCCCCCGCTTCTTTCTGGTTTTAAAATGTGCAGGGAGGCAGCAGAGCTTCAAGAAAGGGATGCTGCTATGGGGAACAAGTGCTTGTGAGTTTCGAGCAACGCTTACATGCTTTTTCAAACAAATTGTCCCAGGAACAATGCCATATCAATGGTTGACATCTGTTTGCAGTAGAACTAAATTGAAATCCTTCATAAGAAAATGCGGGAAGTAAACTGAGGAAAAATTATCTAATGTTTTAGTTTAAAAGATATCTCACAATACCAGTAACAATTAGCTTGACAGTCAAAACAAAAAGGGACAAATTGACTGATGTTATAAAGTTAAAGTTGTCTTTAAAGTCTGTTAAAGACAGAGGTCCAGACCCTACAGGAAGCTCCATGTGGGTGGCCCTGTGCACCTACACAGAACAGCACAGTGATGTTAGAAGGGGTCCTTGCACAGCAGGAATTTGCCTACCCTGAACTCCATGAAGCACTGGAGCCTTAGTTGCCACAGCGAGTGTTCAGAACCATTTTTAAATCACTTTCTTTTTATCCAGAACCTAAGGGGGGAAAAAAAAAGTTGGCTCCTCAGTGTGAAGCTATCCTCAAACTTCAGCTCTGCTAAGAAAAAAAAAAATCTATGCATGTAAAAGTACAGCCAGAGTCTTCCTTCCCTCCCATAACATGACATTGCTAATGGAATTCTGCTAAAGTATTTTACATTCCTTCTCTTAAATCTTCACAGATCAAACATGGAAAAAAACCATAAAAGTTCATTTAGTTTTGAAAAGTTTGGGACATCTGAAACTGCAGTGACAATGCAAACTAAGCAGCAGATTTTGCCAGCGTTTTTTCTTAAAGATATGCTCTTCATTTTAAGGTAATCCCGGGTATCCATCAGCTCTTGTTACAACAAATCTAAGATTCCATTGAGTAGAGGATGATGGGTCTTTCTCATGGTTTGTTTACTTTATGTTTTTGACCCTATTTTGCTTAGAGTTATTTTCACGCTTTCCCTCATCTTTCATGTGGTGGTAAAAAAGAACAGAAAAAAAAACCTTAAAAAAAATATGTCATTGTACAACAAAGAAATCATTTGGCTAACATTTAGCACCTGAGACTGCTTTTAACACAATATGTTTTAGGCTATGCCTCCCAAGAGGATCACAGATAGAAGACGTTCATACACTGAACTGCAATAACTTTATTCCCTTGTTCGAGAGTTCTTGAACTTGTTCCTTAGTTAAGAGGAGTACATTCAGAGTAAGTTATCCAGTTTTCGTTACTACTAACCCACGAAGAGTAGCACGTTATTCGAGACACTTGCGCAGTGCCTGCCAAAGAGGGGCAGCGGAACTGGGTTTGAAGTATTTCTTGAGAAAGAGCGAACGATTAACGGCCGAGGAGGGAAACTGCTAGAGGCGCAGGGACGCGAGGAGGGCCTGGCGTACCAGACTGCCCCGTAAACCCAGCAGCGCTCTCTCGGGAACCTCTTGCAACTCGAGTTGCAAAGTTATTAAGCGGCTGCCCCAGAAACGCGGGGACGGAGCACAGCAGTAGCCTCCCGTGCGCCGGCGC